ACCCAGGGGGATAGACTGAGACTCCATCTAAACAAAAAAAAAAAAAAAAAAAAAGAAAAAATAGAAAAATAGCATAAATCCACACACTTGCTATCTAAATTTAATAATTATCAGTATTTGTAAACGTGTTGACATACATTGAGATTTGAGATTTTTAAAGCGTTATAAATGTAAACAGGCTTTTTCTAAGGCCCTCTACTCTGCCTTCCCCCAAGCCTTTAGTCTACATCCCCTTCCCGTTTATCCAGAACATTCCCAACTTTGCTATACCCCAGTTCTCACCCTTTTGTCCCCCAAATGCATCTTTCTCTCTTATTTCGTAGACAAACTTTTTGTTGTTTTTTTTTTTGAGACAGAGCCTCAAGCTGTCACCCTGGGTACAGTGCGGTGGCATCACAGCTCACAGCAACCTCCAACTCCTGGGCTTAACTGATTCTCTTGCCTCAGCCTCCCAAGCAGCTGGGACTACAGGCGCCCACCACAATGCCCCACTATTTTTTGGTTGTAGTTGTCATTGTTGTTTGGTGGGCCCAGGCGCCCACCACAATGCCCCACTATTTTTTGGTTGTAGTTGTCATTGTTGTTTGGCAGACCCAGGCTGGATTGGAACCTGCCAGCTCTGGTGTATGTGGCTGGCACCTTAGCCTCTTGAGTCATAGGCGCCGAGCCCACAGACAAACTTTTTAAAGAATCTATACTTCTAATGTCCACTTCTCCTTTTATTTGTTCTCAATTATACTAAAACTTAGTATCTACCCACTGGACTCCAACTCAATTCAAAACCTCATGAACACAAGGCTCCTTTTCAGACTTCACATGGACTCGATCTCTTCGCAACTTCTGACTGAGGCTCACAGAGCCAGGTCAAGGTTCCGACCTGAAAGTCCTCAGAATTACAAGTTGTCATCTTTAAATAACATGGTATTGTTCTGACTACGCAGGCCCAGAGGTCTTGGAGCAAAAGGTGTCCTGAGAACTTAAATTCCATACCAGTTAAATTCAATACTAAACCTAAAGAAGGAAAGGCGGAAGGAGGAAAATGTAGTTTCAACTATAACTTTAACAAAGAAAGGCAGAATTCTCAACTAGAAATCACAGCTATGAAAATTCTGCCAGATCTCAAATCTATGAACAAATATGTATCTATGCTATTCTATTCAAAGTGCCGAAGAATATACCCCAAAATGTTAACAACAATGAAATCTGCAGATGTTAAGTTTATGGATAGTTTCTATTCTTCCCTTTAATAATAATTATTTTTGTTAATTTTCTACTGTGAACATACATTTTTTTTAATAAGAAAAAGGTTACATTTTCTTTTTCTTTTTTTTAAAGCAAAGGCTTGTCTTACAAGCGTAACAAAGAAGGGTGTTGCTAGGGAGATGCAGCTCCACAGAACACTTGCAGAAAACCTCCCTGGGAATGAGTGGGTGTTGGCAGCTTGAAAGGGGAAAGAAAAGCAGGCTGGGTGCATGGGGCCCAGTCTCAGGCGAGAAGAGCTCTTGCTGGAAGCAGCCTGGCCCAACACAACCCAAGAAGCAGCTAGTGCTCCCTGGGCCTTTCGGTCAGCCACCTGGTCCTAATCCACCTACCTACCTATCGATCTCTTCATTTACCTATCTTTAGATATAAGATCTCCTTCCATCACCCAGGCTGGAGTACAGTGGTGCTAGCATATAGCTCACTGCAGCCTCAAACTCCCATGCTCAAGTGATCCTCCTGCCTTAGCCTCCCTGGTAGCTGAGACTATCGCTATTACACCTAGCTAATTAAAAAAAAAAAACTTTTTGTAGAGATAGGGTTATCCTTGTGTTGCCCAGGCTGCTCTTAAACTCCTGGCCTCAGGCAATCCTCCCACTTCAGCCTTCCAATGTGTTGTGATTACAGGCATGAGCCACTATTGTCCAGCCTACACATCCTTTTTATTCCTGCCTCAAGATAAGGAAGCAAGACTGACCCACGCTCCCATGACTCCACCAGGCACCATGATGGTGTCTCCACTACTGGCTACTGACGTCTACCATGTCTAAATGGTGAGCACAAAGAAAATGTTTCAAGAATATTTAGTGTACAGGATACTCTGAACTCAAAAATATGTATAATCCCCTGCTAACCTTCACCAGCTCAACTTCCCTGTCCAGACACTAGGTTCCTGTAGGTCCCTGGACATCTCAGAGTCTGGCTCTGTGTCCTGCACACACTCTTCCCTCTGCCTAGAGTTCACATCCCTACCCTTATCTACCTAGTAGCACCTACTCACCCTTCTGTCTAGCTTTAGACAATGAAATGTCCTCTATAAAGCACTCCTAGTCAACTGGCTGCTCCCTCCTCTGTGCACCTTGTTCATTTTGTACATAACATTTTACAGCACTTCTTACACTACTGGAATTGCTGCTAAAGTATCTGTTCACCCCACTAAACCATGAGATAGCTAAAGCCAGAACTACATCTCCCCATGCATCTAGAATAGTGCCCAGACACAGTAGGATTCAATAAATATTTGATGAACTAATAAATACATGTATTTCATTTTACTACGCATTTTTACAGATATGCCAGAAATAAATTTTAGAATCTAGAAAATAGGTGCTGGCCAATACTGGTGTTCTCTGAATGAAACCAATTCAAAGTTTAAGACCTAAGTGAGGCCAGGAATGGTAACTCACACCTGTTAATCTCAGCACTTTGGGAGGCTGAGGTAGAAGAATCACTTGAAGCCAGGAGATGGAGACCAGTTTGGCCAACATAGCAAGACCTCATCTTTACAAACATAAAAAATTAGCCAGGCATGGTGGTGCACACCTGTAATCCCCGCTGCATAGGAGGATGAGGTGGATCAATTGAGTGAAAGAGTTCTTACCTACATGGCTGCAGTTAGCTGTGATGGCACCACTGCACTCCTACCTAGGTGACAGAGAAAGATCCTGTCTCCAAAAAAAAAAATCAATTTTTAATAAAAAGAAGTAAAAAAATTTTAAATGACCTAATGGAAAAGAAAGTCAAGATCAAGTCCAATATATATAGGGCAAATGATAAGATTCTACCATCTATTAATAACTAAGAATATTATAATAATATTAAAGAATATAAGCTTGAAATTAGTCAACCTCAGAAGCAATAATTTGAGAATTATGTATTACGGAAGGGTTTTTATTCTTCCTTTGCATAGTGGAAGCTGGGGCACTGCCAAGTACCTGTTACAATACAAAAGTAATTAAGAATGGCATGTAGCTTCTCTTCAAAATCAAATCAGCAAGGATGACTGATAACCAGGAAACATGGAAAGTTTAAGATCAACTGCAAGAAAACAGAAACTGCACATAATTCTCATTTCCATACATTTTAACTTCCATCAGTGCCTGCCTATCGCCTACCTGAGCTAAAGTAGGGATTGAGTTTTGACCAGTCTGCGTCTGTATACGAGCAGATTCGCTCTCTGGCACAGAACCTCTGACACTTCCATCCCGATGGGACTCAATTGTTTCCATGGTCATTTGTCTGAAAAGACAACAAAAGGGAAGAAGTATTAAGAACCTCCATAGTTGACCACCTCCGTACACTCCCAAGCTCCTAATCTGCATAGACCAGACAGGTGCCATGTATATGTATCAGTTCAGTAGGCCTAGGTCCGTGTGTTGACCACCTCCGTATGTTGGCCAGTTTGTTACAGTCCCTTGGGTGGTCGACTTACAGAGGTTCTACTGTATGTATTTCTAAGTACGGGTTCAGCATCCCTAATCCAAAAGTCCAATATCCTCCACAATCTAACTCCACATGGCATCACTAGTGGAAATTCCCCATCTGACGTCACATGATGGCTCGCCAGCAACATGCAGTCCACTCTTTGTTTCCTGCACAAAATTATTAGCAATACTATATAAAATCACCTTCAGGCTTCATGGATAAGGTGTATATGAAACATAAATGAATTTCATGTGTAGACGTGGGTCCTATCCCCAAGATAGCACATTATGTAGTCAAGGTGAAAAGTGGGGACCCTAATCAGAGGTAGTCGGGGAGGCCGGGGAGGTAGGTCTGGTAGAAGCAAGGCTGAAAAGGCTGGATAGAACCAGATTAGGAATAGCTTTTAATACTCTAGAAAGAAAAACATTTCCACCTCACTCAGACACCTCCTCTACTCTCAGCCCCTCACTATCTGTGGAGTCAATCTGTATGGTACAACGTTTCAACTATTTGATATTATCGTATAATTCCAGCAAGAACTAGATAATAAATAAAAGTTAGCTATTAATAGGCAAAACAAATGGCCCAAAGTCCATATATAAAACTTCTAAAATGAAGAGAACCTCTCCTGGCTCACACATTTAACTCATTTATTCTTATTTCAAATAAAATGCTCACATACAGCTTTCTGAATATACTGCATATAGGAAGTGGCGGTGGACAAGGAGAAGGGAGAAACTGCATAGCGTATAATAAACAGATCAAGAATTCAGGGTGTGGCTATTTGGGTTCAGACAGGATAAAGGTGTATGGCATACAGGATTGGTTCTTTATAATCAAGAAATTAAAGAATCTGAGATTTATAATTCAATAACTAATATTTATAACTATCCTGAGTCAGCAAGAAAAGGCTAATTTTGTTTAGTAAACTCCAAAGACAAAAGGGTAGACTCTAAGAAGTGTCTCATCAAAAAATGTTTCAATGCCTAAGAAGACAAACAATTCAGAACTATTTTTGAGATAAAATAAAAAACTTTAGGTATAATCCTAGCAGTCTGGGAGGCTGAGGTGGGAAGATCACTTGAGCTCAGAAGTTCAACACCAGCCTGAGCAAGAGTGAGACCCCATTTTTATTAAAAATAGAAGAATTAGTGAGGCATTGTGATGGGCACCTGTATCACAGCTGTTCAAGAGGCTGAGAAAGAAGGATTGTCCAAACCCAGGAGCTTGAGGCTGCTGTGGGCTAAGCCAACTATGGCACTCTAGGCTGAGCAACAAAGACTTTGTCTCAAAAAAAAAGACTGTATAAGCTATGAAACAGATTTCAAAATGTTTTATACAGGTTTGGCACCCTAATCACTGAGCTATAGGCACCGGCCACATACCCCAGAGCTGGTGGGTTCGAACCTGGCCAGGGCCTGCTAAACAACAATGACAACTACAACAAAAAAATAGCCACGTGTTGTGGAGAGTGCGTGTAGCCCCAGCTACTGAGCCCAAGAGTTTGAGGCTGCTGTGAGCTGTGATGCCACAGCACTCTACTGAGGGCAACATAGTGAGACACTGTCTGGAAAAAAAAAAGTTTTATACATGAAGGGATTTTTATATATATTATGTCATATAATTATCTTAATTGGTCCCTTTTCTCTTGGGTATTTCCCAGAGTTCAATTCTTTGCCCATTTCCTTTTATCAATACCATGAAAATTTTCAGTACCTAATGACTACTGTGGCTTCCTGATGCCTACATGGAGACGGCTCCCAAATCCTTACTCTCCTATTGACCATTTCCACCCAGAGTTTCACCAGCACCTGTCCCCTCCCTCATATGCCTTCCTTTAGGCAAGAGTATCACCATCCATTCATGCTCCAAAGCTAGAAGAATGATGTGTCTGTGTCAGTCAGAACCACATCAGCTGCAAAAACCAACCCCCTAACAAAGCTAACCATCAGGAAAATCAGGAGGCCAGGAGGCCTGGAGTCTCCTAAGGACGAAAGCAGAGATGGAAGGCCAGTAGTCACCATTCTTCCTCCTGGTCAGACCGCCACTGTGCATCACCCATTATAAGCACCGTTCCCAACACTGGTCCCAGCAGCTGAGCTGCTGCTCCTCACCGTCACTGCTGACCAAAAGTTACAGGCACTGGGCCACTTCCTAAAGCACAACTGAACTGCAGTGCCCCTGCATCAGTGCCAGAATCTCATCCATTAACAATGCACATTCCCATTTTCCCAGTCCTGTCTGAAATATAAGCTCCTCCCCCAGTTCATTTTCCCTTTCATAACTAGTGCTTCCTTTACCCCATAATACAACCCCTCAGTCCTGTTTTTCTAACCCTTTGCCCTGTGCTATCTGCAACTCCCAAATGCCCCCATACGGCCCTCTCCCTCTACAGCCCTGTACACAAGGCTGCTGCTCATCCTCCCACACCCAGTCAAGATAGAATGTTCCACTCTGGGAGGCCGAGGCAGGTGGGATTGCTTGAATTGAGGAGTTCGAGACCAGCCTGAGCAAGAGCAAGACCTGGTCTCTAAAAATAGCCAGGTGTTGTGGTGAGCACCTGTAGTCCCAGTTACTTGCGAGGCTGAGGCAAGAGGATTGCTTAAGCCCAAGAGTTTGAGGTTGCTGTGAGCTATGATAATGCCACAGCACTTTACCAAGGGTGACAGAGTGAGACTGCCTCAGAAAAAAATTTAAAAGATCAAGAGCATTCCTTGGATACCCTCTATGTTCCCTCTTCTCCCTCGTTCCACTCAAGTTCAAGGTAATCGGTGCCACACTGTACCCATCCATATGATAATCATTACCTTCTACAATGTAAACTGAAGACTCTGGCCCTTGGCTTAAAAGCCTTCCTCTCTGCCAACCAGTGTGTGCACAAAATTCAAAAGAAGGAACTTATCCTCACCCTGATGCCTCAGATTGATAATTTTCTTTTTTTCTTTTATATCCAGCCTCATAGACTTTTTTTGGGGGGGGGGCCAGGGGCTGGGTTTGAACCCACCACTTTTGGCATATGGGGCCAGCACCCTACTCCTTTGAGCCCGATAACTTTCTTTACATCACTTCAGCATCTACTTGAGTGCTTGGCCCACACACTGGACCCTGTTAACGTGCACGAGTGCTCCAGCTCTGACAAATTAATTCCAGCACCCCACTGAGTACAACACCCTACCTTCCAGCTTACTGCTACTCGAGGTCTCCAGGCCACTTCCTCTTTTCCCATCAGCCTCCCCCTCTCTTCATTCCCCACCCTATTCAGCCAGCATAGTTTCTCACTGTTTCCCAATACCCTAAATTCTCTGGTCCAATACCCTTTTGGTTAGGGTGACCAGATTTTAACATTTGTAAAGTGGGACAACATGGGGGGGGGCGGGGCAGGGCCTGACAACAATGCAAACTTTGATAAGCAGTTCTCCATAATCACTTCTCAACAATTATTTGTTATTATTACAGTTTAACATTATAAAATTAACAAAAATAATATAAAACTCATATTCTGGCGAAATAGCCACATGGCAGCCAAAAACCGTATATTCCCTTCCTGTTCTCCCGCCCGTTCATGCGTTCCTTCTAAAAGTCAGGACTTTTTTAAAATGCCACGGGATGCAGGACAAATTGATAAAAATCAGGACTGTCCCGCCAAAAGCGGGACGTCTGGTCACCCTACTTTTGGTGAGTCTATCAATCTTGGATAAGACAAATTTTGTGTCCTCTATGCCCGCAGTAAAGCTGACAAGCAATACTGAATACAAGTTTAAGACAGAACATTATGAAAGCTTTTGAATTCGTGGTCTTCAACCTCAGATGGGGCTTCCTCGCTCATTCTCCATGACTGTTTCCAATTTTCTTTCTTCTCAAATCCCTAAATTTACATAGTAACGACACACAAGGTAAAACCTTGCCTCCCGTTTCTAAAGCGAATTCCCTCAACTTCCTGCCACCAAGTCAATAAACCCACATTTACACCCACCATTTCCCCTGTCTCTCTCCTCTGTCCTCCCCACTCTCAGAATTCCTGGATCTGTTCTATGGATCCTATGCCCTTCCCTCTCCTCTGCAGGGGGGTTACACGATCAATTACTCTCCCTCCTCTGTAATGATTTCCTCCCGGTCAAGATTTAAATACCTTCCAGTCTCTCCCATCTCCAACACACACACACACACACACACACACACACACACACACACACATGCGCGCGCACATTCACTGAACCAGAAATCTTTCTAGCTAACCCCTTAAACCTCTCCTCTTCCTTTCTGAACTACTTGTTAGAATTAGTAGTAATTTTAGAACTACTAGTCCATTTCTTCACCTTCCCCCGTGCTCCTAAGACAACCCCAAACAGGCCCTGCCTCTCGAAAGCTTCTCTAGAACAGGTAACCAATCTCTCCCACTAAACCCAACCTACGTTTAAGTCCCACCCCAGCAGCACTCACACTGTTGACATCATTTTCGTTCTTCCTCGGTGTCCTGTATTACACTTTCCTGTTCTCATCCAGTTCTCTGGCAATTCCTGCACAAACTAATTGGCCTGCTTCTTCCCTTGTTCAGTGTTCCACATGTTGGGGGGTCTGCTTGGCCTTCTTGCCTCACTCGCACATCTCTCCAAGTTCAACATCATCCATTTCTCAGGATGTGAACACGTATTAGCTTTAAGCCTTTGACTCTCAAATCTACATCTCTAGCCTAGAGATCTCTTCTGAATTCCAAAATCATACATCCAAATGCCTTATGACATTTTCAAACATACATATTTTTAAAATGGGTTCAAGACTGAACTCCTCTTCTTACTCCATGCGTACGTTCTAGC